GAATATGTTGTAATGTTCACATTGAGTCACATGAATTTTCAGAATGATTTTCTATTTGTATATTGTTAGTCTGGTACATAACATGTTTGAATGTATAGATTATGCACCATGAGCCATTTCTATGGGATGCAAATTTTTCCTATGTGACCGTTATACAAACCGGCACACGATTCTCTGTTTCAAAATCTTTATCCCCTGTACCAGTTACACTCCTAGTCGTTCAATAGTATATCGGGATTTTGCACATTTTCAAGATTCCTACCACATACTCTACCAAGAATGAAAAGCCAAACATTCAACCTCATAAAACAGCAACCATAACGAGAAGAAAAAACATAAAGGCACTGCAATTGACTAAGCATATAGATCAGGTCATAACTTACATTAATTTTTGATGAAAAACAATTAAAAGTATCCATTCTAGAACAAACCTTTGTAAATCAAAAGTAATTGTGATCTCAATGAGGTATTATCAGGAGTGTCTACAAGGAGGCAATGGAGCTCCACACAAGCCAGGATTTCCCATAAAACCAGACACAGGTATACTAGCATTATGAGGAGGAATCCTCCCACTTAGTCGGTTTCCAGACACATCAAATTCTTGAATCCCCTTCAAATTCAGTACATTTCCAGGAATAGCACCAGTCAAATTGTTTTTCGAAAGCAAAATTGTTGTCAATTCCGTGGCGTTTCCAAGCTCCACTGGTATCTTCCCAGAAAGCCCATTTTCAGAAAGTTCTAGAACCTGCAATCCATTTAGTTTTCCCAATGACCGCGGTATTGACCCTCCCAACGGGTTGTTTGAAAGAATCAACGATACAATTGAAACCATGGCTGGTTTGTCCCCAATGTTCGGATCTATAGGACCATCAAACATGTTCTTTGAGAGGTCAATTGAGTTGAAATGCCCAAGTGGGTCTTGGACATTTTTCATGAAAATTGTGTCCAAGTGTCCTGAGAGCTTGTTGGAATGGAGATCAAGATCCATTAAAAGCGAAAGGTTCTTGAATTCGATTGGCAGCGATGCGTAAAACCTGTTGTTTGATAGGTTGAGAAATGAAAGGCTTGTCATGTTTCCAATCCAAGGAGGTAATTTTCCTGTCAATTCATTGCTTGATAAATCAAGTGTGGATAGTGATGATGAAGATAGCCAGCTTGGAAGCTGTCCTTTGATCCCGGTTTTCGCTAACAATAGCCGAAAAGCTTTTAGTTTTGAAAACCACTTTGGTATGGTGACAAGCTTCAGCGGATTAAAGGAGAGATCGAAGCTCTGTAAACCCTGTAAATTAGCAAGCTGGGGAGGAACTGGACCCGATAGTTGGTTTTTTGACAAATCAAGTGTCTGAAGATTCTGTAAATTGCCAAAACTTGATGGGATTTTCCCGGAAAATCTGTTGTTTGCAAAGAAAATATCGGTGAGAGTAGTGAGATGTCCAATGGTTGCAGGGAGTTTTCCTGTGAGTCTATTGTTCTCAAAGATTAGCCGTTGGATGTTAGGAAGCTGCCCAATCGATGCTGGTAACGTGCCAGTGAGTTTGTTCTCTGATAATCGACAAAATTTCAGAGAACTAAGTCCATTTATCGACCAAGGAATGCTTCCTGTAAGCTGGTTTTGATTCAGATATAAAAGGGCTAATTTAGAGAGTCCGCCAATGGATTTTGGTATGCTTCCAGATATTTGATTTTCAGACAAATCAAGATAATTAAGCATCTTGAGATTGCCAATTGTCTCTGGAAGAGAACCCGAAAAATTGTTTTGATGGAAATCAAGCAGAGTTAACGAAACAAGCTTTCCAATCGATGGAGGTATAAAGCCAGACAATTGATTCCCTGAAAAACCCAACTCAGAAAGCGAAAACATGGAATGAAAAACAGAAGGGACAGTACCCGACAAGTAGTTATTGCTGAGGTAAAGCTTTTTTAGACCGGTAAGGGATTGAAAAGACTTGGGAATCGAACTGGTGAGCTTGTTTGAGTCGAGGAAGAGGTAAGCGAGGCGCGATAACTTGCCAAATTCGATTGGAATGTGACCTGTCAACTCTTTGAGATTGCTGAGATCGAGAAGTTGGAGAGACGAGAGGTTGGCGAGAGACGGAGATAGAATTCCAGACATGTATGTGTCGATGATGAAGTCTGTGCCTGATTCGAGGCCAGAGCGAGAGACATTGACGACTCGGCCCGAGGCGTCGCAGGCAATGCCTTCCCAGGATTTGCAGCAGTCAGTGGAAGGTGTCCATGAATGCAAGAGGTTTGATGGGTCTGAAGTGATTTTGTTTTTGAATCCAAGTAATGCTTGTTTGTCTATTTCATGACATGCTTTTGATGGTAATTGATGGAAGGAGAGTGTGAAGAGGAGGATGGTGAACGAGATGGGGTTTATGAGACTGTGAATATCCATTGAAGTTTGGATTTGGAGAGTTTGAAGATAGGGTGTTCTTGAGCTGTGCGCTATGTATAGTTGGTTAGTGGTGAATAGTCGTAGTCAAAATGGTTGAATTAGTATTTGGGAGTATTTTAGTACATAAGCCACGTTGGAAAGTTTGTCAAGGCTCCAGCAAGGATGAAGGTGGGCTTGACTTGAGCACCATATATATATATTTTTTTTTTATGTCTTTTTTAAGTCACATTATTTTTCTATTTTTTTTAATTATAAAAAGTCAAAAAATATACTTATTTAGATCATTTTAAACACCTTTTTAAAAGTTAGTTTGAGAATTCGTAAGAAACATTAATTTGGAATGTAAATTTGGTCATACTTAAGATGAAACTGATTTATATAATTCATTTTGTATCAACATTTCAAGTAATATTTTTAGGTTCTATATAACATTGTTGCTCCAATAATGATTACTTTTTATTTTGTTCCATTGTCAATGCCAAATTTAAACTATGGTACAACACAAAAATGACAAAATTCTATAAACTTGTTTTGTTCTAATATTTGTGTTAATTTTTTTATATAACCATCATTGAATCTTTGTAAAATACATCTAGTCATTAATAATAAAGTCAAAGTTTGATAATTTATTTTACCAAATTTGACACACAAAATAACATTACTAAAATTTAACAACTTCAATGTAGTACCATTAAAACACTCAACTATTATAATAAAACTACATAGTCATTAGAGTTAGAGTGCACTTACAATCATTTGATGTGAAAGCAATCTCAAAGCAATCAACTAAAAATCACGCAATGAAGGATTAGGCATATCCCTTATTAGGGGCTAGATAGTGGAAAATGAGTTGGATTTCTGTGAAATGAAGCTTTCAGATACATATGAATGCTCTGCATTGTGGTGGGTTTGAGCAAGGCGTTGAAGTAAATGATGGGCTTAGGAAACATGCCAAGAATGATGAGCATGTGGCCCTACTTGCACCGTAATAAAAAATGTCCCATTGGATGATTTTGCTCCCATCACTTGTCTTTAATAGTACATTGTTTTCATTGGCGGGTAGAGGCCAATCCACTCCCTTATCTGTGTTTGGTTGGGGTTTTGGGGTTGGGATTTAGAAAAGGAATAAGAAATGTAATCCTATTTATGTTTGATTATAATAAAAAATATATGGGAAAAGAAAGGGGGTGAGAAATAAATAAAAAAATAGGAGACCTTTTAGGACATCAATTCTATTTTATAACCAACACAACCAAACATAGTTGGGATTTGGAATTCTATTAATTCTTTCTCCTTTTCCTTTCATTTTCATTTCCCTTTCCATTTTCCTTCCCAAATCCCTCAACCAAACACAGCGTTAATAAACATATAATTTATCGACATATCTGTAGGAGTTTTTATTGACCAGGTGAGAGGTTTCTAATAGATTATTTATAAATATGAGGAAAAAAAAAATCTCAAATTAAATGATATCCACTGAAACAAATCTATAAACTCAATAATCTACACAAAGAAAATCCCATAATGAAATAATTGAACTAATCTTTACATTGAACAAGAATTGATCTAGATCATTCCTACTGACTCTTCTAATTAAAAGTATATAAGAATAGTTAACTGAACTACTACTTCAATTTGTTTGAGAGTTGTTATATATTACTGAGGGCTATTTTGGTAAGATGGTTATAATTAACTTTTTGGTTAAAAGTTGATTATAAGCTAATTATAATCAGCTTTTGTGAGAGAGGGAAGTGGGTTATAATCTGAAAAGTGGATTATAACCCACTTCCCAAAAGACCCCTGAATATATTTCACAAGTTTTCAAATGAATTTTATTGGTTTTTTTTATACATTCATATCTAACATGTTCACGAATAATTATGTTATTACGTTGTATATGTTAGGTACTACACCACAAATAGTCTCTATTGTATGGATTCTGTAAAAGGTCAAAAAATAAATAGGTGATATTCAATTGGTGATAAATATAATTTAGAGTTTGGATCCTCTAGTGTAAATTTTTTAGGATAATTTTTGTATGATTTTAGGATTTGAAAGTTGACAAGTGAAATGACTGCTGTTGCCCTCGGTTTTGTAATGTTAAATTTCAACCATATATCTAAAAAAATATTCCAAAATTATATTTGAAAAAATACTCTAACACTGTGTTTGGTTGGAGGATTTGAAGAGAGATTTAGAAAGGGAAAGGGAAAAGTTTGGTAAAATGTAAATAAAATATACCTATATTTCACCTAATTTCACACACCTTTTCTCTTTTTCTTTTCAAATCTCTCTTCAAATCCTTCAACCAAATACAATATAAAAGATGCAGCCATCGAGATGAATATGAGATAATGATGCAAGAGAAAGAGAAGATGATGTGAGAGGAGTGTGACAAAATTTAATTCCAATATTGCGCCTGGATTTAAGGACCGGTAGTCATGGGGAAGAGATGAAAGTTTTCATAAGGTGGCAATTGAATGGCAACGGTGGGATAAGGTTGTAGAAAGAAAGTGCCATTTTCACATTGTTGTAATATATGTCAACTTATTAGGCCATGCTTTTACCACCAAAAAAAACAGCATAAAAGTAGTAACAAACTTGATTCTTATTTTCGTTCAAAAAAAAAAAAAAACTTGATTCTTGTTGGATGATGGGGAGAGAAAGATAACAACTATGAAATCAAAACAAACTGTTCATAAATTTACTCATAATGTTAATGTATGATTTAAATTTAATTCGGTATAATAAGACACATTTAAATTCTATCTGAACCATCCAATGCTATTTCCGCATTATGTTCTAAGTACCTAATATTGTTGGAGAGAAATCAAATAATATCACAGATTTATTTTAAAAACCTAAGTCTTTTGGGTCATTGAAATGGGTCCAGAATCTCCAGCTCCTAAAATTTTCCATCCTTATGTACTAATGTGCTCTAACAATTGAATTATGTTGAAATCTCAAAGAATAATGTTATATGTACCAATTAATATATTAATTAATGTACTAATTGATGATGTAACATAATTTAAGAAGTTTTTGAGATTTGTAATGTAATTAATGAGTGGAGTCAATAATAATATCATAATTAGTGTTGATACACTAATTAGTATACTAATTAGTAGCACCACCCAAACTCAAATACTATCTAATAGTTACAAGCATATTAAGACACTTAAGATAGATGAATTTAATATAAGGAACAATCTTATGGTATTTAAATGAGTTTTGTTAATAAGTGCCCTTAGGACACTAGTTAAGGTTGTAATAAATTGAACTAATTACTTCCACTAATATAAAATTTAGAAAATGAAATGAATTTTTTATTGGAAATAATGTAATTTTTTTGTAATAAGACCAAAATATCTTCTTTATTTTGAGTCTATTTTTTTTATTTTTTTTTTATTTTTTTTAGGTACTTTTTTTTATGTTTCTTTGAAATAAATAATGTCTAATTTTTTTTTTAGCATCTTTAATTTCAAAATTATTAATTAAACTTGTATAATCACCATATCATTTTTCAATGAATAACATAATTTTTTTAAAAAAATAACTAGTTTTCAGAAATTATGTTTTAAAAATGTACATTTTGTTTTTTAAATGTAAGATAAGTGTTTGATTTGATCAGATTTTTAAAAGAAAGAGTTTATTTTTATCTTTAGTAAAAATTTTTTTTTTTAAATTTACTAAATTTTTATTTTTTACTTTTATTTTTCGAATTGTCTAAAAAATTTAGAAAAGACAAAAGTAATTTAATTTTTGTCTGAATTTTTATATAGAATTTGATTTATTTTTGTTTTTAATGAGAAAAATTGACTCAATTTTTCTAATTTTTAAAATTTTATAACTAAAAAACGGACATAAAAAATTTATAAAAAAATTGACTCAAAAGAAAGAGAATATTTTGGTCTTCATTACAAAAGAATTAATTATTTTTTAATCAAACATTCATTACTTTTTCTAAGATCTATACGAAGTGATTGATTTCATTTAATACAATCTTAACTAGTGTTCTTAACATACTTGTTAACAAAACTCTATTTTGATAACTACAATCATAATTGACTTGATTGAAGTAAGCGTTAAAAAAGATTACACCTAGGATTGTAAAAATGTCCCGTGCCGAGATGGGCCTGGCCTGTTTAGGCTCGAACTAGAGCCCAATTAGAATTTATCAGGAATTCAAGATTTTTACTATAATATTAGATTTTTGTATAATCAAGTAAATTTGAAACTTTTAATATCATTGTATTCTTTCTTTTTATCTTCTTTCTATCACATTATACCATTACTTTTATTTGTTAGCTTGTTAATTGTAATTCAATTATTTGTAAATTTTATTTGCGACTTGATTTGTTATGAATTGCTTTAACTTTTTCATTAAATTTTTATCAATTTCTAAAAGAACTTTTATTCTTATCCTTTTTTTTTTTTTAATCTTTTCATCAAGTTGATTATTTTGTTTCATTAAGTGATTTAAAATTTTGATAGATATACATCAAAAAATAGATAATTATATTTCTAAATTATAATTTAAATTTAGATATTGTTATATTTTTTTTGAGATCTATATTCATGTAAATATTGATGAAGAGAGTATATTGAACCATAAGCTTCTATTGATAGACGTTTAAGAATTCGCAAAGACACGATATTGCTAGTTTGTGTAGTTTTCACCATCCCCTCTCAAAAGGCTGTCAAAAAATAAATAATAATAAAAAAAAAAAAACAGAAGAAAAAAAATCCACTCCTACACTTCTATTCTCCCACGTTCATCATCTCAAAAGGTTGTCAATTGATTTTTTTTTTTTTTTTTTTTTTTTAAGTTTATCTGAGAAAAATTTTACTTTGATTTTTTTGTTAAACTTATTTGATACCATTTCCTTATTATAACGTCCTATCTCTTCATATTTGTTCAGCTTCATTTGAAGAATCTTCTTCCGTAATTCTATCATCTCCAACTTCTTAACTTTTTCTATATTTTTATTATTTTTATTTTTCTCCTACAGCCTCCTCATTATTTGTGATTCATGTCACTATAGAATTTAAAAACCCAACTATATGACAGATGAAAGAGATTTCAAAACAATCATGTTAAA